AAACTGTTTTCCAACAAGGTTGGTTTGGGGCAGTAGAGGGGCCCAGGGCAGACAGCTCCAGGCTTGGAATGAGAAAGACCTGAGTGACCTCAGCTTTGATGATTCTTAAAAGGGATCATTCTTGCACTGCCTACCTAAGAGGTTCTTTTCAGGATCAGATGAGATAATGGAAGCCTTTTTTAAGCTGGGTTGCCCTAGGTGATGAACTCCTTGAAACTTAGGGTGTATTCATGTCCAGAGGTGAATCTTCTGGGATGGAGAGGATTAGGGCACACATACTGAGGGCAGCCTGTGCAAGCATCCTAAATCTCTAAGTAGGAAAAAAATGCTACAGATGTGGGTAAGGAATATGAGAGAGAGAAGAGAATCAATGACAGAAACAACCCACCAGCCCTTTCCTATGTGACTGAATAAGTAGATATTAAAAGACCTGTGTTATCATTATTATAATGAGGATGTGTCATCTCCAAACATCCACAACCTGTCCGGGAATTTATTTATCAGGAACTTTACTCCTGTTTCATCTACCTAACGAAGCCTATTTCATACAAAGGCCTGGCATTGATGATAGCAGCCAAGGGAGAAGGTTCTGCTGTCAGAAGCTCCTTATGAGCCAGCACTGTGTTGAGCAGTCAAGGAAGGTAACTAACACAGTGCCCTAGGAGAGGCAGAGCTTGGAGGGATAATTTGAGATTCCCATTAACTCCTCTTGGTCAGGCTGCTCTGGAGTATCATGGTCAGCTCTGGGAGGCACATTTCAGAAAGGAAATTGATAAACAGGAGTGTGCAGGAAGGCAATGAGGATGGTGAAGGAGTTTCAAGTTCAGGCCATAGGAACTTTGGGATCAGGAATGCTTCGGAGACATTGGGCATGGTCAGGGAGAAGGCACATCTAAAAAGCTGTCAAGGGCCAGGCGATTCCTATGTTTAGGGTTGGCCCCAGGGGGAAGAATTTGGTGCAAAGGGTGCAATTGCAAAAAGGGAATTTGAGACTTCACAGAAGTCTGTTTTCTAGCTTTTCACATTGAGTTCTGCTCCTGGAGCACAGGGGGCACTGTCCCAAGCTTCTAGTGCTGGGAACCTGGGGCCTGGTCACTGGCTTTGTGCTCTGGGGCCTCAGGTGCAGGTGGTTTGCTTGCTGCACTGGGTTGTAGGCTGGGTTCTGGGGCTGCAGGCCTGACAGCTGGCCTGCTGTGCCACTGGCCTGCTGAGCCAGGAACAAGGGGCCTTGCTTGCTGATCTCTGCTGTGGCTCAGAGCCTCCTGCTGGCTCCCAGACACTGGCTGTGCTGGGCTGCACTTCCCTTTTACCCAAGTGAGACAGATCTTTCCTGAAATCCTTCTAAATTAGCTTCAGCTGGAAAATTGTTTCACTCCATCCTTTTGTGGGTTCTGTCCCTCCAGAATCCCTTTTGGGGTTTGATTTAACATTGTTTCCTAGGGAAACTGGGAAGAGCTCAAGCAGCTTCCTGACTTCTCTCACATCTGCTCCACGATACTACTTTTCTACATAAATGCTGTATTTCCCTAGTAGAATGTAAGCTCCCAGAGGGGAGGAATTATTTTATTCTGTCTTTCTATCTGCTAAGTTGCATGCTTAACAAATTATACTAAATTGGTCTTAAAACTTAATAGACAATTAGGTCTATTACAGATGCACATTTATTCTCCAAATCCATCTTGTCACAGGCTAATGGCCAAGCCTGATTTTTTTTCAGTATCTACCTGTTCCATGAAAATCGTGGTTAGGTTTTATTCCCTCAAGACTGAGTCTGAAGTATGAACGAAGAGAGAGCTGACATTTTCTGCCTACCTTCAGGTAAGTCCCTTGATACCAAGTCAAGTCTGCTTTCTAGAGCAGACATCCTGGGGCCTAAGTATTTTAAGCATTTTTTTTTGATAACTGTATTTTGAGAATTGGTTTCCTTTGTAATCCTACATGTTTTTTTCATGCATTTAAAAACATGATTCTGAGGAGGAGCCCATGGGTCTCAGCAGCCGACCTAAGAGATCTGTGACACCAATAAAGGTGAAGTCACTGGGTCCCAACCCAATAGATCTCTCCCAAGCCACCCTTCCCCCAACTCTTTCACTATTTCTTTCCCTTATCTTTTTGGCCACAGGACTCCACAAGCTACCTCTGGAATGACCTGAACCCTTCTGAACCTGTCCTGTTTCTTGACAGAATCTCTTAATTCCTTCCTAATTTCCCCCACTCTAGCCATGTCTTGTCCTGCTTTACAATGGCTTCTTCTTTCCTGGGGCTAATCAATCCATTTTTGAACAGTGTCACTAAACCTCTGACTCAGTGTAAAATTAACATCCCCAAATTTCACATTCCAGATAATAGTGCAGCGGGGTAGATGTGCACAGCAAATGAGTATAATAACATTACATTCCCTCCCTGGCAAGAGAGGTTGTGGGGAGGGGGAAGTGTTACATGCTGAGGGTGTGCAGAGGCCATCAGATACTGGGACAGTCTCCAACGGCAGCCAAGGGCTGGGGGAGATGACAGTGATGGCTAATCTTGGACCAGCTGGGAGGAGGGAGAGAGATGTTAAATTTGTCAACCAGATTTCTTCTGAGACTCAAGTGCTGCTCAACTGAAAAGAATTTAAAAAGGCTCCAGGTAGGAGCACAGGGCTAGGGAGAAGGCAGAAGAGATTAAGAACAAGCAGGCTCCCTATCCACAGCTCCACACTCCCTCTCCTCTGTTAAATGTGTCTGATGACACTTGTACTACCACCGCCCAAAGCTGTTTCAAGAGTCATGTTGCAGGAGATATCATAGAAAGCCTGCTCCAGAATCACAAAGCCCCACGTAATTGTTGTTACTTCTATTAAAACTATTATAAGTTATTAAAATACTATAATTCTTAAAACTATTGTTATTATTTAGATTGTAAAGTTTTCCAGAGGGATGTGAGCAACATAGGGGCAGCTAGGTGGCACAGTTGATACAGCACTGGCCTTGGAGTCAGGAAGACCTGAGTTCAAATCCAGCCTCAGACATTCTAGCTGTGTGACCTTGGAAGTCACTTAAGCCCAACTGCCTCACAAAAAGCATAAAACAAAAAAGAATGTGAGCAAATGGAGGGCAGGCCTACTTTGCCTCTGTATCCCCAGTGCTGCACAAAGTAGGCACATACCAGTATGGTTGTTCCATACCTCATATCAAGCTCTGAAGGTAAGCATGGGATGGGGAACTTTATGGAAATTCAGCTAAGTCCTACCATGCTGGCTACTCATGTACCCAGGAATTGACCATATAACTTCTGCCTGAGAAGCAGCCTAGCCAGCTTTGGAGAGGCTCCTCCCTCAAGGATTTCCAGTCACAGTAACTCATGAAGCTGTCTAGCAAAGGAGGGATGGAGATCTGCATTGGTGGAAGAAGCCGCCACGTTAACAAAATCACAGCTCCAGAAGAGCTGCCTGAAACCATGAAGGGAGATTTGAGAGCTGACTGCCATCATCATCATCATCTTCATCATCGTGTCCTTTCCTACCTCCATATCCAACTGGTCACTAAATCCTCTCAATCTCATATTGCTTCCTTCCTTTCTGGTACAGTCTCCCCAATCACTACCACTATAGAATAGTCCTGGTTAGAATTTCTGCATAATATTTTAACTCTCAGAACGTGTCTTTCTCCATTTGCCCGGATGCTCAATAGATCTGTGGCCCTGGAGAGCCTCATCACATTGGTTAGCGAGTTTTCTCATTCCTAAAATCCAGATATGGTAATAGCACCTAACTCACATGCTGGCTGTAAAGATGAAATGAGCTGCTGTATCGAAAAGGCTTTGCAAACCATTGCAAAAGCTACGATTTACATAGTTTTTACTATGTGCCAGGCACTGTGCTAAGCTCTTTACAAACATCTCATTTGAGCCTTCCATCAACCCTGGAAGGTAGGTGCCACTAGTATACCCATTTTACAGATGAGGAAACTGAGGCAAACACAGATTTGTTTTTTTTTTTTTAAGTGACTTGCCCATGATCACACAGCTAGGAAGTATCTGAGGGCAGATGGGAACTCAGATCTTTCTGACTCCAGGCCTGGTGCTCTATTCACTACTCCACCTCACTGTCCAACAAAGTGCCATATCAATGTTACCTATTAGGCTTTCTCACCCCCTCATTAGTGCTCTTCCTCTAAGATTACATTCCATTTACCTTCTCCTCTAGTCTTTCCCTCTCTCTCCTTCCCTCCCTTTCTCACCTTTTCCTTTCTCCCTCTCTCCTTCACTCCTCCCTCCCTCCCCTTCATTCTGTCTCCTCATCCTCCATTACCCACATATGTGTGGGTCTACACACACACACACACACACACACACACACAGAGCAGGGTATCCCAAAAGTATTGGTGCAGTTTTAAGGTTCCATACCTGAAATTCCCTGTGTGGATATATATGCATGTGTTTCAAAATATGTGTGTATGTATACATATATACATATACACATATGGATATACACATACACATTTCTTTACAAACATAGTCATTTCCTTGTCCTACCCATTAGACTGTCGGTTCCTTGACTTCAGGGACTGTCTTTGCCCTTCCCTGTAGCTCTGTGGCTTGTAGAATATGAAATGACTGAGGGACCAAAGCTTTGTCAAAGGTAGAGGAACAGATCTCTAACCTGTGGGTGGCTGGAGCCAAATGAAGCAGGTAGAGACAGAAGAGTCAGGAATCAAACAAAAGTTTATTTTCAGAGTGAGGAAAACAGGTTTGCAAATCAACGTCCTACTGAAGAGAGCTTGTGATTTGTGGCAGGGGGAGGGTTATTAAGCATGAAACCCACAAAAAGACAGGACCCAACACAATCATTCTTAGGTCTTGAGTAAGTTCCCACAGCAGGGTGACATGTACGGGTGTCTTTAGCACAACAGAGGAGTTCTTGGGTCCTGTGGGAACAGTCTCTAACTTTGCAGGGTCTTTGAGGCTTGTGAGCATTTAGCAGGGAACAGAACCAGGTCAGCGTGGCAGGAACAGAGTGCAGCACCTGCTTCAGTTCACTTAGTAATGACAAGTGCAGGGATTGTCCAGAGTGTCAGGATATAAGACTGACTGCTTTGTGCTGCAGTTTCTGATGAAACCTTCACAACACATTACATCCAACACACATAAGAGCCAGTATTTGATACAGTGTAAAGCACAGTGCTAATGCATAAACAAATTATTCTGTACTGAAAATCTTCCACCTCCTCCACCTCTGCCTCCACCAAGCGTCAAAAGTACACAGCTTTGGTGAGAGTGGACTCCATGACAGGCACCACTTTGACAGGATCCTCGTCCATGTAAAAGTCTGTGTGCACCACTCTGTTGTTCACCTACAAGATAAAGGCCCAAATTACACAAGGAAATGAATAAAATTCAATTCCACAATTAGATAGCTGAGCAGGGCTGTCTTTAGCCTCTTTTTGTATCTCCAAAGTTTAGTCAGATGTCTGGCATGTAGGAGGTGCTTAAGAAATGTTTCATGATTATTAAACAAGTATTTATTAGGCACTCAGGGTGCTCTAAGCCACATTCTAGGTGAGGAAGAAACAAAGACCAAGGAGTTAACTTTTTTAAGGCCACATACAATACCTACATCAATAAGCAATAAGTATATGCAAAATACAGACAAGGTAATGGGGAAGGGAGAGATTAAAGCAGAGTTCTCAGAACCCAGTAGATGAGGCAAAAACCTTTGTATAGGAAGTAACCCAGAGCTAAAATTAGTAGAAGAGCTAGAGATTCCAAGAGGCAGACGTGAGGAGAGAGTGAAATCCAGGCATTAGACAAAGACAGGGTCTGAGTCTGCAGAACCAGAGAGTAGGCCAGTTTCACTGAAATGCAGAGTTGGGGGTGGGGTGCAGACTGTAGAGGATTTTAAATGTCAAATAAAGCAATAGGGAATCATTGACACTTCTTGAGCAGGGGCCTGACATGGTAAAATCTGGGACATGTGAATGTCTGGGACAGGACAACTCTCTTCTAAAGTGCAACAGCAATGTACAGTATTCTTATAACAATGATGATGAAGAAGATATCTGTAATAAACTTGACACTGATTTCTCTTCATTCAGCCCAAAGAGCATGGGAGAGCTGAGTTGTTCCTACTTCCAGGCTGATCCATTCTCATTACTGGACCATAACTTAGAACTGATGGGATAGAGAGGGATGAGAGAGAGAAACAGAGAAAATGACTATTTAAATGAACACCTCAGCCCCTTGTTTGCTAACAACACTGATAGCAGCACAGTACTGCCCTAAGAGCTTACAATCTACTGAGGAAGGGCAACAACCATGAGAGAAGAGTTCAAAGAAAGAAGGAAGACATCATCTCAGGAGGAGAAAGACTGCAGGTAAGAGTGCAGGCACCCGGCCTACATGCACACACACATGCACAAATGCTGCCCAGGGAATTCCAGGCAATGTGCTGACAGGAAGAAATAGATGCTTCTTAACTAGTGGAGGAAAAATAGCAGAACATGGAGCATGAATCCATTTATTGATAACTCACTTGAGTAAAAAAATCCACAATATGCAACTTCTTGCCATGTTTCTGAAAGACTTCATCCATTGCTTGAATCATCACAGAACCATCTTCTGGGTGGCGTAAAGCAATGTGATCTACCAGTGGAGAAATGAGAATATTGTTTAAATTTTTGACTAAAGTGTTCTAAAAATGCACACACACACATGTGGAATCTAGAAAAACACTTACTAAGCAAGATATCCCTTTATTCGGTGCAACAGTAGGACATGTCTACATTTTGATTAAGCTGTCCAGTATTTACACTTGTGCTACTTCCCAAATCTGTTCCTTGGGCCCTTAACTCTACCAGTACACTAACTAGGCAGTCTAAATGCACAGCCCATAAAGAATCCATGGCAGATGAGGTCAGTAACTAATTTACAGTGGGCCATGAACCAGGAAAAGCCTCTGTCTGCCCAGCAAACTCATATGAAGGACACGAGATATTATCTGAAGCCAAGGCTATGTTTTCCCAGTGATGCTTTACTCAAGAACCTACAACTTTCAGTCTCCAATACACCGTGTAAAGTAGCTGGCCAGTCCCTAGAGCATTCTGCTCATAATCAGAAGGGAATCTACACGCAAAGAACGTTCCATACAACATTCTCAAGGATATGGTCAGTTTCCTTTGACCTAAAGACTTTAAGTAAGGGAACACTTACCATCTATCAAGATGCCAATTACACTTTGGACAGCTATAATTATTTGTTGGGCTTTACTGACAGGAAGCCCAAATATGCCTCTCTGCACTTTATACCTTATTCTATTGGTCCTAGTGAGGGTCTAGTAGACCAAGCACAGTATCTGAATTGCAGAGGTTCAAAGGACATCATAACCATCTACTCCCACCCATCTCTGAACAACAATCTACTCTACAATATGGTCAACAATTCAATGGTCATTGGGGCTTTGCTCCAACCAATTCCCAAACCAGTCTACTCTGCAAATGGCTCTAAATATGGGGAAATTTTCCCCATCATTAAACCTATACCTTCTCCTCTGCAGCTTTCACCCACTCTTCCTATTTCTCAACTTTAGGGCAAGCCAAATAAATGGCCTCACCCTTAAATCTGGTAGTCCTTCAGATACTTGACAACAGTTATCACCTCCCTCCTAATCTTCTCTTGTCCAAACCAAACATTCTCAAACAATCTCCAAAACACCATCCAACATCACCATTCTAGTCACCCTACTCCTACGTGTTCCAGTTTATATCTGTCTTTCCTAAAATAAAGCGGTTGTTGAATTGTTCTAGAACTATCTAGACCCTACTGGGGTTTTCTTGGCAAAGACAGTGGAGTGACTTTCCATTTCCTTCTCCAGCTCATCTTACAGATGAGGAAACTGAGGTAAACATGGTGGCATGACCTGCCCAGAGTCACATAGCTAAAAAGGTTCCGAGGCTACATTTGAACTCAGGAAGATGACTTGCCTGGCACTCTATCCATGGCACCAAGCAGCTGCTTTTTGAGGTATTCAACACTGAATACAATATTCCAGGGGTGGCCTCAGCCTGGCAGAGGACGGTGAGATGATCAGCCAATTTCTGAACATATTCTCTTAATGCATTTTCTACTACCACATCGCCCAATGCTGATTTATGTTTGGCCTCTAGCTCCTTAACAACCCCCAGATATTTTTCAAATGTATTGTTCTCTAGCCATCTCTCCCCTATATTTAAATTGAGCACTTGAATTAAGACTTAGTATTTATCCTCATTAAATTACATCTTACTACATTTTGACAAAAATTCTGGCCTGCTGAGAGCTTTCTAGATTATGATTCTGACATCCAAATTTCTAGCTCTCTCAGTTTGGTGACTTCTGAAAATTTTAGAATCATGCTATCTCTGCTTTCCTCTAAATAAGGGATTGAGATGTTAAACATAGAGCCAATGGGAGTCTGCCTAACTGCAAATGGCTGACCAGAAGGCCAAAACCCTGCTGGGTTGAACAAATTCTGCCTTAGGAAAAAATATTGTATGGAATTAGTCATTTTAGTTTTTGGTGATCTATGTTTACAGGGTGATGCACAAGAAGAGTTTTACCACAAATCTGAAACGTAAATAATCAGAACTGGATTTTGAACAGTCATTATCACTTTCATTCAATATGCCTTGACAACGCATAAATTCACTGCCTTACCTTCATGGGTAGGATAGAGGATAAAGTAATCACTGAATGTGGGAAGTCGCTTTTTCTCTGAATCATTCACTTCCATTGGTTCACCATCGGCTTGAACAACACCACCATCTCTTCGACCTGTTTTTGTGGGAGAAGATGTGAACAGCCAGTGAGATAAACAATTTTCCAGCAATCTGATGTTAATGCCAAATGAACCTATCATAAGTGAGCCCATGTCACTGCATATACACTGAAGGGAGTAGTTCACAGTCATGGGCCCCAATAGCTCCAGAAAAGCTAGGCAAGCCAGATCCCAGTCTAAGGAGCAAACAGCACACATACCAACAGTAACATTCCTCAGAATTGGTAGGCCAAGGATTAACAATTTCATCATGTCAGAGGCTAGTAGGATCACAGCATCATAAATTTATGGCTGGAAAGGACCTTAGAGATAATCCAGCCCACTCTCTCATTGTACAAATAAGAAAACCAAGCCCCAGAGAGGTTACATGACTTGCCCAAAGTCACTGAGAAAAAACAGTAGGAATAATATAAGTAAAGCATGTTGAAAAACTGAATTATCTACTTTAAAATGCCAGTTATTTCTAGGAGTATTTTAAGCAACAAAATGAGGATTCAAACCCAAATGCAATCTCTATTCAAATGCATTTCACTGGGCCCTGAGAAATGACAGAAACTTATCCCAAAATGAGTGAGGAAGAGAGGGCCACAGGGAAACACCCATAAAAAAGTAGAAGAGGGAATATCACAGTGGAAAAACCGCAAAACCTTGGATTTATAAATAATAAGATCTTGAATCTACTTGCTTAAAAGGACCTAAGATACTCTAACTTGTAGGATGCTAACATTATGGTTCCCTCTCCGGCTGGAAATATACAAAATTTGGCATCTTTATGGATGTCAACGGGCAGCTAATGAGTATTTCTTCTTGTAAGATAAGGAGAAGCAGTAGAGAAAGGAAATTCTTTCTGGGATGAAAATCAGAGTCAGGATTTCCTAAAGAGAAGAAGAAAATACTTACAGTGAAGCCTAAGAATTCCTGCCACTGCTGAGGTGTTCTTTTTCCTTCTTACTTACCTCCTCTACAAGCCTGGATTATAAAGATTTTTGGTTTCTTTTGAAGTGCTGGACAGTTTTTATTGTTGAACATTTCAAAGATGTCTGATAAGTTGATTCTTTCATCCAGTACTGTTTTTATAACCTTTTCCTCCATGGGCCATGAGAGTAACAAGGCAGCAGCTCACATCATCTTTTCTTTTATTTATTCCATCTCGAAACTCTCGTAATTTCTCCATTACCCCTGTGGCAAATAGCATTGCAAAACCGATTTATTCAAAGGGTGGACTTAGAACCATTTGTATTATCTACAGTAATTCTCAGAATTCCCTCATTTTAGAGGCAGCGAGGTGACGCAGTGAATAGAGTACTGGCCTTGGAATCAGGACAACGCGAGTTCAAATCCAGCCTGAGACACATAACACTCACTAACTGCGTGACTCTGGGCAAGTCACTTAACTCCAAATGCCTCACCAAAAAAAAAAAGAGGAAATCCCCATTTTACCCAGGTTGTGACATTAATTGCTTAGCTTCTAACATGAAATATTGACTGTTAAAAGGAAGTGAAGGTCTAAGATGGCATCATCATCATCACCTTTGTAGACAGTTTTGAAAAGAAACCTGGTCCTCAGGAAGACAGAAAGTTTAAGAAGGAAAAGTAAAACACTTCATTTTTATTACAACTGTGGGACTCTGGGATCATTTTATATGATTACATACAGCACCTCATGCAAATTTCATCTTGAATCTTCAAGTTACATGTGAGAAACCCAATCTCCAAATTCTGTAGACAAAGATAAAATTGAATGAATGAATGAATGAATGAATGAATGAATGAATGAATGAATGGACTAAAATCCAATACTAATCATTGTTGGGAGAGTGGGACCAGTGATGGCCCCCAGGGCAAGGGCATTGACATCCCTGGGCTGTTTTTCCCAGTCAGGAAGGGTATCAGCCAGGGTCATGGGCAACAAACAAGACAGAGACGACAGGAGGGGGGGACGCTGTAGGGGCCCGTCCACCTGGCCATAGATCTCAAATTTGTTTTCATTTAATAGTATTTGGTTTCAATTACGTGCAATGATAGGTTTGAACATTCACTTATGAGACTTTGAGTTCCAGTTTTTTGTTCCTTCCTGGACTCCTCCCGAATTGGTAGGCAATCTGATATAGCTTATACATGTGTAATCATATTAAACATATCTGCATACTGGTCATGTTGTGGAAGAAGAATAAGAACAAAAGGGGAAAAGCACGAGAAAGAAAACACAGAAAAAAGAAAATAGTATGCTTTCATCTGCATTCAAACTCCAGTTTTCTGTGCATGTGGATAGCATTTTCCAAAATAAACCTTTTGGAATTGTCGTAGATTCCTGCATTGCTGACAAGAGCTAAGTCTATCATAGTTGATCATCACATAATGTGGCTGCTACTGTGTACAATATTCTCCTGTTTCTGCTCACTTCACTCAGCATCGGTTCTTGTAAGTCTTTCCAGGTGTTTCTGAAATCAGCCTGCTCATCATTTCTGTTTTTTCCTTGGTTTCTTTGCTTTTGGCTTGGCGATGGGGTTAAGTGACTTGTCCAGGGTCACACAGCTAGTAAGTGTCAAGCGCCTGAGGCTGGATTTGAACTGAAGTCGTCCTGACTCCAGGGCTGGTGCTCTATCCACTAGGCCACCTAGTGGCCCCCTGGCTCATCATTTCTGATAGCACAACAGTATTCCACTACATAAACATAACACAACTTGTTCAGCCATTTCCCCAACTGATGGGCATCCCCTCAGTTTCCAATTCTTCACCACCACAAAAAGAGCTGCTATAAATATTTGTCTACATGTGGGTCATTTCCATTTTTTTATGAGCTCTTTGGAATACAGACCTAGTAGTGGCATTGCTGGATCAATGAGTATGCACAGTTTTGCAGCCTTTTGGGTATAATTCCAAATTGCTCTCCAGAATGGTTGGATCGGTTCACAACTCCACCAACAAAGCATAAGAGTTCTAATTTTCCCACATCTTCTCCAACATTTATCATTTTCCTTTTCCGTCATATTATCCAATCTGATATATGGGAGATGGTAACTCACAATTGTTTTAATTTGCATTTCTCTAATCAATAGTGATTTAGAGCATTTTTTCATAGGAGTACAGATAGCTTCAATTTCTTTATCTGAAAACTGCCTGTTCATCTTCCTTGACCATTTGTGAATTGGGCAATGACTTGTACTGAATCTCAAATCCTACTCAGCTCTGCAAAACACATAGAATCAAAGCAACTAATGGAGCATTCACGCTCTTGAAACATAAAAAGGCTTTCCTTTACAGGAGAAGAATTCATGAATTCCCTGACACTTGTCCCTTGAGAGAAGTACCAAGATTCTTTTATCAGGGTTTAGAAAGGAATAAAACCTTGCTGCTCAGATGATGACCTCATGAGAAAGAAAGCAGGCTATGAAAGTCAGTTACCAATGTTGTTCTCTCAACGTTTACCTTTTCATCAGGATCGATGCAAGATGTACATTCAAACTTGCACGCTTTAAGCCAGTTTCTCATTCTCTTCATATCCTGCTCAGCCCCTGGTCTGCCTGTCTTCACACACATCACAAAAGCCTTACGAGTTTGTTCCATGTTATAGCGTTCCTGTTTGTAAGTAAAATTAATAAGCACAATGTATTCCCATGTATCAGAAAATATAACACCCTAGACATATTGGCCCATATACTGCCTGCGAACCTCCTGGGGTCCGGGATGGGGTTTACCTCAGAGCTCAAAGCTGACCATCTCTCTTTGGGGGAGGGGTGTGTGTGCATGTGTTTATAAATAGATTTCTTTCATCTATAAGTTCCTGACAATCTCCATTTCAGAGTAGTTCTAACAATACAAATCACTCCTTCTGAAATACTTAGAACCAGCAAAGTAGGGCTATTGTAACAAAACTGGCAGCATGGTGTCACTACCACATACAAAACACCACCAGTTAAAATCATACCACTCTGAGGTAAGGCAGGGCTTGGGTTTGAGTTTATCTGGGGAACAGGTAGCCCTGTGAGGGAACAGGAATGAGAGCAGCATGGATTCCCCAGGGGCTGGAGCCTTCTCATCCTTTCTACAAGTCAGGAACTTCAACAGATTTCAGTGGATTACACATAGACTACAAAGTCCCCCAAATCTCCCCAACCCAGAGCTATGGCCCCAAGAATTCCAATGAGAACATGACACTTAAGTCCCCGGACAGGTGTGGCCCTATTCTTTCCTGCTCCCAGGAGTTAGTCCAGAGGCTCCCACCACCAAAAGGAAGAGATGCAGAAACAGCTGGAGGGGCACAAGACAGCAATCTGGCATTCCTTGACGTTTTATCTTTGGGAGCTGAGTGGGGAGCAGGAGAGACCCTTCCTCCCATAAAGCACCAGCAAGCCCCTCAGCCCTGTGCTAAGAGGACAAATATGGCCCAACTGGTTAGGTCTTAGGGGCTGGGTGTTGGTTGCCCTACCATAAAGTAGCTGGTTTAGCACCACCTCTTGGATTCTTGGGGGCAGGGAGCCATTTTTACTGCCTCTAAGATGATCTGGGTGACTGACACTGAGGAGGACACACTCTTTAGAGATACCATGCCTCGGATCCACCAGTGTCTTCCATTTTGTTCCCTAAGTTTTCCCTCAGCCTCTTTCTGCAATGCAGCAGGGATTCCCCAATCCTTCCCCTTTCCTAGGAGCTCTGGTGGGATGTGGGTGCCTTGCTTCCACATGGGGGAGATAACAAAGTAGTAATGAGGGGACAAAGAAGGTAAAGGTAGAAATGAGGGTGGTTCTAGGAAAACAGAAAGACAACAGGATTTGGATTCAACAGAACTGGGTTTAGCTCTGGGGTCTAGCACTTCCTAACTGCGTCCTTGATCAAATCAGGTAACTTCTCAACCTGTTTTCTCAGCTATAAAAGGGGTACAGGAATGTTGACATCTAATACTTATATAGCATTGTAAGATTTGCACAGTACTTAAAGAGGCCATCTTATTTGATCATTGCAAAAACTCAGAAAGGTAGGTGTTATTATCATCATTTTACACGTGAAAGGCCTGAGGCATAGACAGATTTGAATGCCCAAGGGTCATGTAGCTAAGCAAGTGTTTGAGAATGGATTTGAACTCTGGTCTTCCTTGGGTCTTCAGGTCCAGCATTCTGTCCTAGCCACCACCTAGCTGCCTGCAGGAGGAATGGGAATACTAACTGTTCTTCTCTTTCCCAGTTTAAGTAGCTAATGAGATAAATGGATTGAACAAGCATTTATTAAGTCCTTACTCTACATTAGGCACTGTGCTGGACACTGTACATACAAAGACCAAAACATCACAGTCTTTGCCACCCATGGAGTTTATGTTATACTGGGAGAGCTCCAACCACTGGGGTGAAGGGGGTGGCCTTAGGTACAAGGTGGCAGCTAAGCTGAGTTTTGAATGAAATCCAGGGATTCCTTGAGGTGCAGGTGAAGAGAGAGAGTACTCCAGGAATGGGAGACAGTCTGGTGGAATTCTGCTGATTCTGTAGAATATCTAGCAGGGAATTGACTTAACTAGAGAATGTATGAAGGGGTGGGACATGAAATCAGTTTGAAGAGTTAGATCGGAGGCAGATTTCAAATGGTATCTCAAAGGGAATAAACAAAGAATAGTGGAGTTTTTTGAACAAGGGAGTGAAACAACATACAAATCTCCCTTTTTACACCTACAGGAAGGAGCCAGTTGCCTGAATGAGAAGCCATGCGCTCGTTAGTTACATTATCAAGGCTTAGATAAAAAGTTACCATTTTAGGGCCATCATTTTCATACTGTCTCTTCAAAGTCGTTGTCAAAACGCTCAGTATTTTCAGGGAAAATGGACCACCAAAAAAGAACAAAGAATAGGGTTATTTATTTATTGCTTTCCCACATCTTCTTTCTCTATCTCTCACCACATTTCCTTAACTCCATTCCCTCCAATGTTCTCCTACAATCATTAATCCTCCTCTGTCCTCTAACCTCTTCCTATCTGTGGGTTCCTTCCCTATAGTCTATAAATAGGCCCCACCTTCCACAGATCTCCACCTTCCCTGCTAGCTATTGTGCTCTCATTCTCTCTCTCTCTCTCTCTCTCTCTCTCTCTCTCTCTCTCTCTCTCTCTTCCTTTTTTTTCAGCCACACAGTTGTCTTCAATCATCCTCTCTACTTTCTCTCCTCTCTCACTAACTCTTCAACCCCTTGTAATCTGGCTTTGGGCCTCATCATTCAACAAAAACTGTTCTCTACAGATTTGCCAGTGACCTCTTCATTGCCAAATAGGATGGCATTTTCTCAATCCTCACCTTTTTTATCTCTCTGCAATATCTGATGCTGGAATTGCGAAGAATCCATCCACACCAACGTAGTATGTCCAACATGATGTTTTGTAATACTGGAGAAAAGGAAAAAGTATTTATATAGTGCCTACTGTATGCTAGGCACTTTTTACAAATATTACTCCTCGATCCTCTCAAAAAACGCAGGAAGGGAGCTGCTATTTTATCCCCATCTTTCAGTTGACAAAATTGAGGTAAAACAGGTTAAATAACTTCCCCAGGGTCACACAACTAGTAAGTGTCTCAAGCTGGATTTGAACTCCAGGCTCAGGCTCTATCTACTGTGTCACTAGCTGCCTGTCTTGGTTCTCCTCTCTCTGGCTGCTCTTTCTCAGCATCCTTTGCTTCACCATCATCATATTCATGTTTCCTTAAAGTTGGGATACCCCAAGGCTCTGTCCTGGAGAGCTTCTCTGCTCTCCCTCTGCAATTGGTAGACTGGCCCAGCTACTATTCTTCATTTGGTACTTCATTAGCCTCTATGGATTTAATCATGGGACTGGTGCAGATGACTCCCAGACCTACATATATGGCCCTGGCCTCTCTCCTCACCTCCAGTCCCATATCACCAATTGCTTCTGAACTGGACATACCACAGACATCTCCTAAGAGGCTACTATGTGCCAGGCAGGGGAAGCTCTGAGGATACAAAGAAAGGTAGGTAAAAGACAATCCCTGCCTTCAAGGAGCTCTCATCTAATACAGGAGGCAACATGCAAACAGCTGGGAACAAATCAGGCTACATTAAAGCTCTGATCAAAGAGAAAGCACTAGGATTAAGGGGGATAGGCAGGGGCTTCTTGTAGAAGAGGAGACTTGAGCTGACACTTAAAGGAAGCCAGGAGGTAGAGATGAGGAGGGAGAACTGGAGGTTGGAAACACAATCCAGCTGGGCTCACCCATAACTGTCTGTGCTGCCATGACACATACTGATTACAGTTCCTCAAGATGGGAAATGTTTCTTGTTACAGAGTCTACAGGGATCACCCCCTCCCTAGAAAAGTGGGTGGGGGGAAATTAAAGGCATAAATCAGGAGGGAAAAGGGAAAATAAGGTTCCTGTCATAAGGTTTTCTACTCCTCTGTAGTCCTAGTTTGATTTAGCGTTAAAGCTCTGAGCCTAATGTTCACTTGACTCTTTTCTCATATGCCCACCAGGCACTTAGCCTACAGCAGCTAAAAAGCTCTCTACTACAATCCTAACCTGAGTAAGAATCTCCTTCCACAATATCCCTCATATAAGGCTAGTCTCCCACTGAAGATACTGCCCCCCACACACACATACTGCCCCCCCAAGTGAGGGGAAGCCTCATTGAGGACATTCATGACACTTCTGGACAGCTCTAATTGCTAGGAAATTTCCCCTTACATCAAGCCTAACTTTTCCTTTTGGGACCCCCCCCCCCCCGATAGTCTTGTTTGCCCCCCGGGACCAAGCAGAATAAGGATTGGCTCCTCTCCCACAAGTATTCTGATGAAGTTGAGTTTACTAAGTCTACTTATACTGCTGCATCTCCAACCTGAGAAAGTCAGCTGTGGAAAGGGCATGTTTGGAATTAAAAGATCTGAATTCAAGTGGCATGCTGGGAAATATGAACCAGCTTGGGGAGGTGGTATAGAGTGGGTGGGATGATTATACCCTGCACTCCTATATAACTTCTATATAATCAGAATTACTAATATGTTCTCCATCACTTTCTTAACTCTAGACAACCAACAAACCATAAATGAAGTCCCCATTTGAATTGTAAACATTTGTACTGATAACGTAAGAAATCCCCACCAAGGGAGCAGGCTCTGCTACTTAGCATTATTGACCCTGGGCTAGTGACTTGAACCCTGAGATGCTCAGGGGTCAAATGGAAATGACAATATTTGTATCATCGGGGTTGCTGTGAGAAAAGCCCTTTGTAAATGAGGAAGTGCTTTGAACACGACAGCTGCTGAATGAGGGCACAAAGCTCCTCTGACTTCTTTCATCAAGCTGGGACTCCAGGATCCCACAGTCCTGAGGGCTAATGACAGGTCCCTGAAACAGTCTCCCTTAGACCCTGCAACCCTGACTGACCATGCCCAGACAATTCAGCAGCATGTGCTTAAACAAGACGTTTCTGCCCAGACCTGTTGATAACTCCAAAAGGGAAACCCCTTCAAAAACAGAGTCCACCAACACTAATCTGAGTTTTGAGACACAATCCTCTTCCACAATCTGGCACCTTTCCAGCTCCATATCCTGGCTCTGGGGTTGGACCCTGCATCACACACTCACTGGGCCATTCTCTGCAAACCCTGCTACACTCTACCACCTCCATGCTTTTGTTCATGCTGTTACCTAAACCTGAGACATCTTCCCACCTGCTCCTCTTCTACTCGGTTTCTATCTTTTGAAGCCCAACCCAAATGCTTACCCAAGTGGTGGCATGGTACATTGTCTAGACTATTGGACTTGGAGTCAGGACCAACTCACTTAATCCCACCAGTAGAAGTTATTAGCTGGATGATCACAAAGTCCCTTCCCCTGAGACTCAGTTTCTTCCCATAGAAAATGAAGACAATAACCCCTTTAGCACGTCCTACTCTACTACAGCCATTCTAGCCTGCTTGGCCTTTATATGTGATTCCATCTCCTCTCTGGGTCTTTGCACAGGCTTTCTCCCCAGGCCTATGGAGCCCTTCTACTTAACAGAATCCCTGCCTTGCTTAGCTGACCAAAGTGAATCTCATTTATTGCTCTGTAAGTGAGGGAGGAGGGGAAAATCCCCTGAATAACACCACCCCTCCCTATCCTGATCTCCCAGTTGCCAGTGTCACCTCAGAAATGACTCTGTATATATTGTTATTTAATTTTCTGTGTATATGTTGTTTTCCCTAGAACGTAAACTCCTAGAAAGCAAGAGCTAAATTGGTTTTAGCTTTGTATCCCCAGCACCTAGCATATAGTAAGTGCATACTGAATGAATGAAGCAAGCTGGCAGGGACCACTTATTTTGTCAAAGTCCTTCCTTATGGTCAGCAAGCAGGAAGCCCTTCCCTAGTGCCAAGCCCTGTGCTAAGCACCCAAGACATAAAGGAAGGCAAAAACAGAATCCCTGCCTGCTCTCAACAAGCTCCCATTCTAACAGGGGACACAACATACAAACAACAATATGCAGTGCTGGAATTCATATTACATGCCAAATACATGTAATATATGCCACACACTTGACCTGTCTCACCAGCATTGTAAATATTGTTGGAGATCTTTCATGCTAATGATCTCAAAAGATTAGGGATAAACTCCAAGGATCAGATAGATTATAAAGTCCTTCGGGTATCTAGCACCCTGCCTAGCATGTAGCTCAACAAAAGGAATCTCACTAAATACCTGTTGGTTTGGAATGGAAAGGGGGGGGGGATGTCCCCTGAATAATCTCTTATAGAGTTATCAAAATGAATCTTCAATCTATTGATGTTTTGGGGCCCAGCACTTGGGAGTCATGGTATTCTAAAAAGGGCCCTGGTTTAGAAGTCAGAAGGCCCCATTTATTAGCTAAGTGACCTTGGACAAGTCTAGTACTCTGTATAATAAATAGCAGTTTCCCATTCTGGCTTCCTGTTTATCTCCTGGTTATTTCAAGTCCTCATCTTTTCAACTGAAGCTCCAAACGCCCATCTGGGCCCCTGATCTTTTTAAACTCTCTCCATCTTTTCTACGTGGGTGACAGGTGGGGGGCAGCAAGGTGATGGGGGACATGTAAAGCTCTAGCATCCAGCACTGCATCTGACTCTCACTACCTGTGCAAATTACGTTGCTTGGTAGCTCACTAGCCGGGTGACCAAACATAGGGAAGTCACCCTCTAAGCCTCGGTTTGTTCCTCTGTAAAACGGAGCTAAGAATACCTGGAGCAGTAGCTTAGCTTACCAGGGGTCTCGTGGGACACACCCATGAGATGATCTGAAGAGCTTGGGACGGTCAAACTGATGATTCTTCAGGGGGTGGGGAGTGGAGGTGGGAGTAGGAGGGCTTCGGCGCGAGATAAACCCAGAGATGAACCCAGAGGGCGGGAACCGCCCCCGCCCCCCCTTAGGAGAGCCCCGAGCTTGCACCCCACCTTACCCCACTCGGCTACCAGGTCGTTCCGGCGCATCCGCTGGAACACCCGGACCAAGACCCTGGGGGTCCCGGACACGACGTAGCGCTTGAGCAGCAGATCGGCCAGAGCCGAGGTCGTGGGGGCCGTGTCCAGGTCCTCCATCGGGATCCTAGGCTTCTTCCCGGAGCTCCTCAGGTAAAACTTGAACTCTTCCAGCTCGGGTGGGCTCAGGCGGTCCAGCGTGCTCACCACCCGGGCTCTGAGCGCCTCCATGGCCGCGGAGGGAGCGCCGGGGGCTGTGGGGGAAGGCTGCGGGGCGGGGAGGGGACACAGCCCGAGCTAGGGGGCGGCGAAGGCGAAAGTGAAAACAGATGTCCGCAGACTCGGGAACGGCGCTCGCTAGCCCCACCAAGACCCGGGCGTGGCGGTCCGGGGGCGGGGAGGAGGAGCGCGCCCGCGCGGACCCCGCCCCGGGATGGGGATGGGCTGCTAGGAGTCCTTTTCCTTCTGGCCTCTGCTTTCCTGGGAGGGTCTAGCCTTGTCCTGCGCCTGCTTCCCATGCGGGTCTGGCTCTCTGTCTGTCTCTGTCTGTGTCTCTGTCTCCATCTCTCTCCCTCCCCTCCCTTCTCTCCTCCTTCTCTTTCTCCTCTTTTCTCCCCATCCTCTCCTCTCTCCCTCTTCCACTCCTGTCTCCTCCATTCTTCTCTCCCTTTCCTGTCCTCCTCTCCCCCCTTCTTCATCTTTCCATCCCTTTTCTTTCCCTACCTCCTCTCTCCCCTCCACTCTCCTCCTCTAAACCCACCCCGCTGTCTCTCATTCTAAAGTCCGGTGTTTCTAACCCTTTATTGCACTGAGGGTTTGAGACAAAGCTGCAGAATGAATCTCTGTCACTGAGCGGGCCGTTCAGTAATTCCCCGATGCCTCAGAATATCCCAATTTTACCCACTCTTCAAATCCTAACTACTCACTTGCCGTGATTTTTCTCAGCTTGCTTTACCCTTGTGGTCACAGAGCATTTTGAAAAACAAATTTTTACTGACATCTTCAGCATCTTACATCATCAGAGTTGTCCCAAACAACCATCTCTCTGAAACGCCTCCCATTTTTTAATTGGAAAAGAAATTGCATTTTGGAAGAACTCACAACACAAGGTGACAATTCCAAAATCAATGATGTGGCAGAGGAAATGAACAAATATCATGAAGTGAGGCAGAAAACAGGGAACTGGTGCTCACCAGCATCATCAAGGGGTGCTCTGTGCAAAGGAGATCCAGACTTATGAGATGACATCTCAGATCCCTTACCCTCTGGGATGGTCACTTTCAGGAATTTGGAAAGGATCCTAGGTTTGAATTCTCAGTTCAAAAGAATGCCTATGGGCTGGTAAGTGGCACAGAAGATGGAGCTCCAGCCTTGGTGTCAGAAGCACCTGAGTTCAAATTTGGCCTCAGACACTTCACACTTCCTAGCTATGTGATCCTGGGCAAGTCACTTAATCCCATTGTCTAGCCAAAAAAAGAAAAAAATGCCTGAAGGGACAGCTACTCAGCCCAGTGGATGTAAGCACCTGCCTTCCAGTCAAGAGGACCTCAGTTCAAATCAGACCTGAGACACTTACTGGCTATGTGACCCTGGGTAAGTCACTTAACCTCGATTGCTTTCTGTTCTCCCCCCCTAAAAAAAAAACCTGTTTGACCCAGGGCAAGTCATTTAATCTCTTTGGGTTTCGTCTACAAAATTGGTTTAAAAAAATGTGAGGGTAGGACTATTCTGTGATCCCTAATAACCATCCCATGGCTCATAGAATAGAGTCTAAACTCCCCAATCTGGCTTTGAAGGCCTTCTATAATACGGGTCCTCCCTACCTGTTCAACCTCATCTTTCATCAATCTGAGTCAGATCCTTTTTCTGTGGACAGTTAGCAAGTGATTGCCTGTTGTTCCTGCCTGCACCATTCAATGAGGTCCCCACCTAGGTTCTTGAGTTTCTATTCTAGTGGGATATAGGCTGTGGAAGGTTCTACCCACTCAGAAAGGCCCTGAGTATGGGCAGGGAGATGGGGCTGTAAGATGCCGATTTGATGAGGACAGGATTAAGTTTGCAGAGGCTCATATGCAGGTTGGCTGCCAGGTGATGGACTTTCTGGCCACAATACCTCCCAAAAACCTTCCAAGGGGGCTGTGATCTGTGAGAGAAGAGGGATTATAAAGTGGGAGGGAATTACAGACCCTTGAAATAATGGCTTACGGAGCACTTTCCTCACTATAACCCTCTGATGCCGGTAGTGGGGGGTTATTATCCACTTTTTGTGATCTCCTTGAGGGAGCCAGGGGAGCACCTGGGAAAGATCATCAGCTCTGGAATCAGAGGATTCGTGTTTAAATCTAAGCTATGTCATATGTTACCTTGGAGGCCTTGGACCAGGGGTGGGGAACCTGCAGTCTTACGGTCACATGTGGCCTTCTAGGGCCTTAAGTGTGGCCATTTGACTGAATCCAAACTTTACAGAACAAATCACTTAATTAAAAGGATTTTATTTTTAAAAAAGTTGCTCTGTAAAATTTGGATTCAGTCAAAAGGCCACACTTAAGGGCCTAGAAGGCCACATGTGACCATAAGGCTGCAGGCTCCTGACCCATGCCTAGGGCAAAGTTACTTGAACTTCCTTATCCTCAGTTTCCCCATCTGTAAAATGAATGGGCTGGACTATAGTACCTTTTAACACGAAATCTATGGTCCCAGAAACAGTACTCTACTCACGGTTTCCTGACTGCATAGACATGGCCCTTTCCCTTTTTAACCAGCCCCCTCTCCCTTAGGGCATTTGGGAGGGCAAAACCAGATGTTTAAAAAACTCTCTTTGCATAACATCAAGTTCTGACTGGTATTAATGGGTCCCCAAGTAGCCCCTCATCCTTGCACTGCCCATCCCATTAGCCCTCCACATTCCATGGATAGAAGCAGCTGAATGAGAAATTAAGGTTATGTTTCATATTCCTAGATGTCTTAATAACAGACTATCCCTTGAGATTACCCTTCCTTCATCCAAATATTGGTGTGCTTCCAAACATAACGTTCCTTCCAATTATAGCCATGTTCTTCATGAATTGTCTTCCTACACAACATACAACAACGTACAATGCTGTCAGAAATAGAAACAGTTAAATTAAATTAGCAATTAACTCTGAGCTGGAGGGTGAAGAAGGATACACTGGGACACCCAGCTAACCTCAGTTTGGAAAACAGAAAGCGAGCAGAATCATGTAGTTGAGAAGGAGTCTAATTCTGGCTAGAGCCTGGATTATTAGGGGGAAGGAAAAACATGGCAAGATGGGTGGTAGCAGCTCAGCCCTTTACCTGCTGCTTGACTCCAAGATCCAGAGTGAACTCTCCAAAGAGGCAAAATATTGCTGATGCATCTGCTAATCATTTCTCCTTTCCTTTCCCTAGAAGCCTTCTCCCCCTAGTGACAGCCCTCTCTTCTGACTGATGAGATCCTGGCCTTGACCACCAGGCCATTCCCAATCCCATTCCTTGTTCTCCACAATTTTCTCCCTTCCAGCCCCTTGGTATGGATTGTCTCTCCTCTTCCCCACCCCCATTAGAATGGAAGCTCTTTGAAGGTAGGGATTGTCTTCAATTTTTTTTTTTGCTTCTACTAATATCCTGGACACTTATCACAGTGCCTGGCACACAGTAAGTACTAAATAAGTGTTTTGTCTATCTATCCACCTGGCCACATGCCCTTACCAATAGAGGGATCTTCTATAACAACAAGGCTGTATTACCAATCCACAATGGGCTCAGAATTGAGGAGCATAGGAACAGGAATGGAGGTTATTACAAAAGAAATGCATCCATTTTCCTGCCCTCAAGAAGTTTAACATCTCCTCAGGGAAACCAGGCACAAAGGTGGAACAGGTGATCTGAGACAATGAGCATGATTAAGGGCTAAAATGATTTGTACAGGAGGAATATGAGAAGGAAGAGATACCTGGGTTGGGTTGGAAGGAGTTGGCTGAAGGAGCGGGCCACTGAAGGCTGGCCTGGTGCTGGATAGCTGGGGTGGGGAGTGGAGACTGAGTCTAAGCTTAGAGGGGGCAGAGTGTGAGGATGAGACCAGTCTGGCTGGAAGGAGAGGTTCCCAATGAGAACGGGAGTAAATCAGATGAAATGTGCTAGGCAGAGTGAGACCAGATTTCAGACTATAGAATACAATTGTAGAATTATAGAATCTTAGAGATGGAAGGGACTTTTCAGATCACCTAGTCCAGTCTCTTCTCTTTATAAACAGAGAGTTATTTTAACAAGGACAAGTGGCCAGAAAGTTGGGATAGAGCCCAGAACCCTAAGCCCTGACCAATGTGCTTTCCTCTTAATGCCTTAAATGTGATGTAATAGAAAGAGCACTGGATTTAGAGTCAAGACCTGAGTACAAATCCTGGCTTTGTTGCTCACTGGTCGTGTGATTTTGGTCAAGTTATTCTTTCAGAGCCGTGGTTTTATCTTATGTAAAGGGGATAGGGGGAGTTGGACTGAACTCTCTCTGGTTCAGAACCTCTGATCCTTGGGCTGCAAACTCCCTTGAGGGGTATGACATAACAGGGGTACTTTCCAAAGGTCGAACACAGGGCCAGTGACTGGAAGGCAGACCAGGACGTAAGGCCATTGGGATCATCCAGGTGCACCATGGGAAGGGGCCACACTACAGTGAGATCTGGGGGAATATCTTCAATCACATCCTCCCTTAAAACTGGTAAAGTGCATTACTTCCGTTACCTTCCTTTGACTCTGACAACCCTATGCTATAAGTACTATAGCTGTTACTGTTTCCATTTTACAGATGATCTAGGAGATAGGAGTCAAATTCAGGCCTTCCTCCTGACTTCGTGTCCATCACTCTTTCTAACCATATGGCACCATACTCTTTAAGGAAAGGAAAGGATTGATGTGAGAAATGAGAGACAGGAGTTAATGACTGATCAAATGAGACAGAAAATATAGAAAAGCCAAGGATGGCTGAGGATTTGAGTGTAGGTGACTGGAAGGTAGAAATAGGCACAGTGAAAGGCAAACTGTTTTCCAACAAGGTTGGTTTGGGGCAGTAGAGGGGCCCAGGGCAGACAGCTCCAGGCTTGGAATGAGAAAGACCTGAGTGACCTCAGCTGTTGATGATTCTTAAAAGGGATCATTCTTGCACTGCCTACCTAAGAGGTTCTTTTCAGGATCAGATGAGATAATGGAAGCCTTTTTTAAGCTGGGTTGCCCTAGGTGATGAACTCCTTGAAACTTAGGGTGTATTCATGTCCAGAGGTGAATCTTCTGGGATGGAGAGGATTAGGGCACACATACTGAGGGCAGCCTGTGCAAGCATCCTAAATCTCTAAGTAGGAAAAAAATGCTACAGATGTGGGTAAGGAATATGAGAGAGAGAAGAGAATCAATGACAGAAACAACCCACCAGCCCTTTCCTATGTGACTGAATAAGTAGATATTAAAAGACCTGTGTTATCATTATTATAATGAGGATGTGTCATCTCCAAACATCCACAACCTGTCCGGGAATTTATTTATCAGGAACTTTACTCCTGTTTCATCTACCTAACGAAGCCTATTTCATACAAAGGCCTGGCATTGATGATAGCAGCCAAGGGAGAAGGTTCTGCTGTCAGAAGCTCCTTATGAGCCAGCACTGTGTTGAGCAGTCAAGGAAGGTAACTAACACAGTGCCCTAGGAGAGGCAGAGCTTGGAGGGATAATTTGAGATTCCCATTAACTCCTCTTGGTCAGGCTGCTCTGGAGTATCATGGTCAGCTCTGGGAGGCACATTTCAGAAAGGAAATTGATAAACTGGAGTGTGCAGGAAGGCAATGAGGATGGTGAAGAGAGTTTCAAGTTCAGGCCATAGGAACTTTGGGATCAGGAATGCTTCGGGAGACATTGGGCATGGTCAGGGAGAAGGCACATCTAAAAAGCTGTCAAGGGGCCAGGCGATTCCTATGTTTAGGGTTGGCCCCTGGGGGAAGAATTAGGTGCAAAGGGTGCAATTGCAAAAAGGGAATTTGAGACTTCACAGAAGTCTATTTTCTGGCTTTTCACATTGAGCTCTGCTCCTGGAGCACAGCGGGCACTGTCCCAAGCTTCTAGTGCTGGGAACCTGGGGCCTGGTCACTGGCTTTGTGCTCTGGGGCCTCAGGTGCAGGTGGTTTGCTTGCTGCACTGGGTTGTAGGCTGGGTTCTGGGGCTGCAGGCCTGACAGCTGGCCTGCTGTGCCACTGGCCTGCTGAGCCAGGAACAAGGGGCCTTGCTTGCTGATCTCTGCTGTGGCTCAGAGCCTCCTGCTGGCTCCCAGACACTGGGTGTGCTGGGCTGCACTTCCCTTTTACCCAAGTGAGACAGAGCTTTCCTGAAATCCTTCTAAATTAGCTTCAGCTGGAAAACTGTTTGACTCCATCCTTTTGTGGGTTCTGTCCCTCCAGAATCTTTTGGGGTTTGATTTAACATTGTTTCCTAGGGAAACTGGGAAGAGCTCCAGCAGCTTCCTGACTTCTCTCACATCTCAGCTCCACCTGATACTACTTTTCTACATAAATGCTGTATTTCCTAGTAGAATGTAAGCTCCCAGAGGGGAGAATTATTTTTTCTGTTTTCTATCTGCTAAGTTGCATGCTTAACAAATTATTACTAAATTGGTCTTAAAACTTAATAGACAATTAGGTCTATTACAGATGCAACTTTTTTCCAAATCCATCTTGTCACAGGCTAATGGCCAAGCCTGATTTTTTTTCAGTATCTACCTGTTCCATGAAAATCGTGGTTAGGTTTTATTCCCTCAAGACTGAGTCTGAAGTATGAACGAAGAGAGAGCTGACCTTTTCTGCCTACACTTCAGATAAAGCCCCTTGATACCAAGTCAAGTCTGCTTTTAGAGCAGACATCCTGGGGCCTAAGTACTTTTAAACACATTTTTTTTGATAACTGTATTTTGAAAGAATTGGTTTCCTTTGTAATCCTACATGTTTTGTTTCATGCATTTAAAAAACATGATTCTGAGGAGGAGCCCATGGGTCTCAGCAGCCGACCTAAGAGATCTGTGACACCAATAAAGGTGAAGTCACTGGGTCCCAACCCAATAGATCTCTCCCAAGCCACCCTTCCCCCAACTCTTTCACTATTTCTTTCCCTTATCTTTTTGGCCACAGGACTCCACAAGCTACCTCTGGAATGACCTGAACCCTTCTGAACCTTGCTCCTATTTCTTGGCAGAAACTCTTAATTCCTTCCCAATTTCCCCCATGCTCTAGCCATGTCTTGTCCTGCTTTGCAATTGGTCTTCTTCTTTCCTGGGGCTAATCAATCCATTTTTGAACAGTGTCACTAAACCTCTGACTCAGTGTAAAATTAACATCCCCAAATTTCACATTCCAGATAATAGTGCAGCGGGGTAGATGTGCACAGCAAATGAGTATAATAACATTACATTCCCTCCCTGGCAAGAGAGGTTGTGGGGAGGGGGAAGTGTTACATGCTGAGGGTGTGCAGAGGCCATCAGATACTGGGACAGTCTCCAACGGCAGCCAAGGGCTGGGGGAGATGACAGTGATGGCTAATCTTGGACCAGCGCTGGGAGGAGGGAGAGAGATGTTAAATTTGTCAACCAGATTTCTTCTGAGACTCAAGTGCTGCTCAACTGAAAAGAATTTAAAAAGGCTCCAGGTAGGAGCACAGGGCTAGGGAGAAGGCAGAAGAGATTAAGAACAAGCAGGCTCCCTACCCAGCTCCACACTCCCTCTCCTCTGTTAAATGTGTCTGATGACACTTGTACTACCACCGCCCAAAGCTGTTTCAAGAGTCATGTTGCAGGAGATATCATAGAAAGCCTGCTCCAGAATCACAAAGCCCCACGTAATTGTTGTTACTCTATTAAAACTATTATAAGTTATTAAAATATATAATTCTTAAAACTATTGTTATTATTTAGATTGTAAAGTTTTCCAGAAGGATGTGAGCAACATAGGGGCAGCTAGGTGGCACAGTTGATACAGCACTGGCCTTGGAGTCAGGAAGACCTGAGTTCAAATCCAGCCTCAGACATTCTAGCTGTGTGACCTTGGAAGTCACTTAAGCCCACTGCCTCACAAAAAGCATAAAACAAAAAGAATGTGAGCAAATGGAGGGCAGGCCTGTTTGCCTCTGTATCCCCAGTGCTGCACAAAGTAGGCACATACCAGTATGGTTGTTTCCATACCTCATATCAAGCTCTGAAGGTAAGCATGGGATGGGAAGTTTATGGAAATTCAGCTAAGTCCTACCATGCTGGCTACTCATGTACCCAGGAATTGACCATATAACTTCTGCCTGAGAAGCAGCCTAGCCAGCTTTGGAGAGGCTCCTCCCTCAAGGATTTCCAGTCACAGTAACTCATGAAGCTGTCTAGCAAAGGAGGGATGGAGATCTGCATTGGTGGAAGAAGCCGCCACGTTAACAAAATCACAGCTCCAGAAGAGCTGCCTGAAACCATGAAGGGAGATTTGAGAGCTGACTGCCATCATCATCATCATCTTCATCATCGTGTCCTTTCCTACCTCCATATCCAACTGGTCACTAAATCCTCTCAATCTCATATTGCTTCCTTCCTTTCTGGTACAGTCTCCCCAATCACTACCACTATAGAATAGTCCTGGTTAGAATTTCTGCATAATATTTTAACTCTCAGAACGTGTCTTTCTCCATTTGCCCGGATGCTCAATAGATCTGTGGCCCTGGAGAGCCTCATCACATTGGTTAGCGAGTTTTCTCATTCCTAAAATCCAGATATGGTAATAGCACCTAACTCACATGCTGGCTGTAAAGATGAAATGAGCTGCTGTATCGAAAAGGCTTTGCAAACCATTGCAAAAGCTACGATTTACATAGTTTTTACTATGTGCCAGGCACTGTGCTAAGCTCTTTACAAACATCTCATTTGAGCCTTCCATCAACCCTGGAAGGTAGGTGCCACTAGTATACCCATTTTACAGATGAGGAAACTGAGGCAAACACAGATTTGTTTTTTTTTTTTTAAGTGACTTGCCCATGATCACACAGCTAGGAAGTATCTGAGGGCAGATGGGAACTCAGATCTTTCTGACTCCAGGCCTGGTGCTCTATTCACTACTCCACCTCACTGTCCAACAAAGTGCCATATCAATGTTACCTATTAGGCTTTCTCACCCCCTCATTAGTGCTCTTCCTCTAAGATTACATTCCATTTACCTTCTCCTCTAGTCTTTCCTCTCTCTCCTTCCCTCCCTTTCTCTTTTCCTTTCTCCCTCTCTCCTTCACTCCTCCCTCCCTCCCCTTCATTCTGTCTCCTCATTCTCCATTACCCAAATATGTGTGGGTCTACACACACACACGCACACACACACACACACAGCAGGGTATCCCAAAAGTATTGGTGCAGTTTTAAGGTTCCATACCTGAAATTCCCTGTGTGGATATATATGCATGTGTTTCAAAATATGTGTGTATGTATACATATATACATATACACATATGGATATACACATACACATTTCTTTACAAACATAGTCATTTCCTTGTCCTACCCATTAGACTGTCGGTTCCTTGACTTCAGGGACTGTCTTTGCCCTTCCCTGTAGCTCTGTGGCTTGTAGAATATGAAATGACTGAGGGACCAAAGCTTTGTCAAAGGTAGAGGAACAGATCTCTAACCTGTGGGTGGCTGGAGCCAAATGAAGCAGGTAGAGACAGAAGAGTCAGGAATCAAACAAAAGTTTATTTTCAGAGTGAGGAAAACAGGTTTGCAAATCAACGTCCTACTGAAGAGAGCTTGTGATTTGTGGCAGGGGGAGGGTTATTAAGCATGAAACCCACAAAAAGACAGGACCCAACACAATCATTCTTAGGTCTTGAGTAAACGGTTCCCACAGCAGGGTGACATGTACGGGTGTCTTTAGCACAACAGAGGAGTTCTTGGGTCCTGTGGGAACAGTCTCTAACTTTGCAGGGTCTTTGAGGCTTGTGAGCATTTAGCAGGGAAGAACCAGGTCAGCGTGGCAGGAACAGAGTGCAGCACCTTCAGTTCACTTAGTAATGACAAGTGCAGGGATTGTCCAGAGTGTCAGGATATAAGACTGACTGCTTTGTGCTGCAGTTTCTGATGAAACCTTCACAACACATTACATCCAACACATAAGAGCCAGTATTTGATACAGTGTAAAGCACAGTGCTAATGCATAAACAAATTATTCTGTACTGAAAATCTTCCACCTCCTCCACCTCTGCCTCCACCAAGCGTCAAAAGTACACAGCTTTGGTGAGAGTGGACTCCATGACAGGCACCACTTTGACAGGATCCTCGTCCATGTAAAAGTCTGTGTGCACCACTCTGTTGTTCACCTACAAGATAAAGGCCCAAATTACACAAGGAAATGAATAAAATTCAATTCCACAATTAGATAGCTGAGCAGGGCTGTCTTTAGCCTCTTTTTGTATCTCCAAAGTTTAGTTAGATGTCTGGCATGTAGGAGGTGCTTAAGAAATGTTTCATGATTATTAAACAAGTATTTATTAGGCACTCAGGGTGCTCTAAGCCACATTCTAGGTGAGGAAGAAACAAAGACCAAGGAGTTAACTTTTTAAGGCCACATACAATACCTACATCAATAAGCAATAAGTATATGCAAAATACAGACAAGGTAATGGGGAAGGGAGAGATTAAAGCAGAGTTCTCAGAACCCAGTAGATGAGGCAAAAACCTTTGTATAGGAAGTAACCCAGAGCTAAAATTAGTAGAAGAGCTAGAGATTCCAAGAGGCAGACGTGAGGAGAGAGTGAAATCCAGGCATTAGACAAAGACAGGGTCTGAGTCTGCAGAACCAGAGAGTAGGCCAGTTTCACTGAAATGCAGAGTTGGGGGTGGGGTGCAGACTGTAGAGGATTTTAAATGTCAAATAAAGCAATAGGGAATCATTGAACACTTCTTGAGCAGGGGCCTGACATGGTAAATCTGGGACATGTGAATGTCTGGGACAGGACAACTCTCTTGTAAAGTGCAACAGCAATGTACATTCTTATAACAATGATGATGAAGAAGATATCTGTAATAAACTTGACACTGATTTCTCTTCATTCAGCCCAAAGAGCATGGGAGCTGAGTTGTTCCTACTTCCAGGCTGATCCATTCTCATTACTGGACCATAACTTAGAACTGATGGGATAGAGAGGGATGAGAGAGAGAAACAGAGAAAATGACTATTTAAATGAACACCTCAGCCCCTTGTTTGCTAACAACACTGATAGCAGCACAGTACTGCCCTAAGAGCTTACAATCTACTGAGGAAGGGCAACAACCATGAGAGAAGAGTTCAAAGAAAGAAGGAAGACATCATCTCAGGAGGAGAAAGACTGCAGGTAAGAGTGCAGGCACCCGGCCTACATGCACACACACATGCACAAATGCTGCCCAGGGAATTCCAGGCAATGTGCTGACAGGAAGAAATAGATGCTTCTTAACTAGTGGAGGAAAAATAGCAGAACATGGAGCATGAATCCATTTATTGATAACTCACTTGAGTAAAAAAATCCACAATATGCAACTTCTTGCCATGTTTCTGAAAGACTTCATCCATTGCTTGAATCATCACAGAACCATCTTCTGGGTGGCGTAAAGCAATGTGATCTACCAGTGGAGAAATGAGAATATTGTTTAAATTTTTGACTAAAGTGTTCTAAAAATGCACACACACACATGTGGAATCTAGAAAAACACTTACTAAGCAAGATATCCCTTTATTCGGTGCAACAGTAGGACATGTCTACATTTTGATTAAGCTGTCCAGTATTTACACTTGTGCTACTTCCCAAATCTGTTCCTTGGGCCCTTAACTCTACCAGTACACTAACTAGGCAGTCTAAATGCACAGCCCATAAAGAATCCATGGCAGATGAGGTCAGTAACTAATTTACAGTGGGCCATGAACCAGGAAAAGCCTCTGTCTGCCCAGCAAACTCATATGAAGGACACGAGATATTATCTGAAGCCAAGGCTATGTTTTCCCAGTGATGCTTTACTCAAGAACCTACAACTTTCAGTCTCCAATACACCGTGTAAAGTAGCTGGCCAGTCCCTAGAGCATTCTGCTCATAATCAGAAGGGAATCTACACACGCAAAGAACGTTCCATACAACATTCTCAAGGATATGGTCAGTTTCCTTTGACCTAAAGACTTTAAGTAAGGGAACACTTACCATCTATCAAGGTAAGCCAATTACACTTTGGACAGCGATAATTATTTGTTGGGCTTTACTGACAGGAAGCCCAAATATGCCTCTCTGCACTTTATACCTTATTCTATTGGTCCTAGTGAGGGTCTAGTAGACCAAGCACAGTATCTGAATTGCAGAGGTTCAAAGGACATCATAACCATCTACTCCCACCCATCTCTGAACAACAATCTACTCTACAATATGGTCAACAATTCAATGGTCATTGGGGCTTTGCTCCAACCAATTCCCAAACCAGTCTACTCTGCAAATGGCTCTAAATATGGGGAAATTTTCCCCATCATTAAACCTATACCTTCTCCTCTGCAGCTTTCACCCACTCTTCCTATTTCTCAACTTTAGGGCAAGCCAAATAAATGGCCTCACCCTTAAATCTGGTAGTCCTTCAGATACTTGACAACAGTTATCACCTCCCTCCTAATCTTCTCTTGTCCAAACCAAACATTCTCAAACAATCTCCAAAACACCATCCAACATCACCATTCTAGTCACCCTACTCCTACGTGTTCCAGTTTATATCTGTCTTTCCTAAAATAAAGCGGTTGTTGAATTGTTCTAGAACTATCTAGACCCTACTGGGGTTTTCTTGGCAAAGACAGTGGAGTGACTTTCCATTTCCTTCTCCAGCTCATCTTACAGATGAGGAAACTGAGGTAAACATGGTGGCATGACCTGCCCAGAGTCACATAGCTAAAAAGGTTCCGAGGCTACATTTGAACTCAGGAAGATGACTTGCCTGGCACTCTATCCATGGCACCAAGCAGCTGCTTTTTGAGGTATTCAACACTGAATACAATATTCCAGGGGTGGCCTCAGCCTGGCAGAGGACGGTGAGATGATCAGCCAATTTCTGAACATATTCTCTTAATGCATTTTCTACTACCACATCGCCCAATGCTGATTTATGTTTGGCCTCTAGCTCCTTAACAACCCCCAGATATTTTTCAAATGTATTGTTCTCTAGCCATCTCTCCCCTATATTTAAATTGAGCACTTGAATTAAGACTTAGTATTTATCCTCATTAAATTACATCTTACTACATTTTGACAAAAATTCTGGCCTGCTGAGAGCTTTCTAGATTATGATTCTGACATCCAAATTTCTAGCTCTCTCAGTTTGGTGACTTCTGAAAATTTTAGAATCATGCTATCTCTGCTTTCCTCTAAATAAGGGATTGAGATGTTAAACATAGAGCCAATGGGAGTCTGCCTAACTGCAAATGGCTGACCAGAAGGCCAAAACCCTGCTGGGTTGAACAAATTCTGCCTTAGGAAAAAATATTGTATGGAATTAGTCATTTTAGTTTTTGGTGATCTATGTTTACAGGGTGATGCACAAGAAGAGTTTTACTACAAATCTGAAACGTAAATAATCAGAACTGGATTTTGAACAGTCATTATCACTTTCATTCAATATGCCTTGACAACGCATAAATTCACTGCCTTACCTTCATGGGTGGATAGAGGATAAAGTAATCACTGAATGTGGGAAGTCGCTTTTTCTCTGAATCATTCTTCCATTGGTTCACCATCGGCTTGAACAACACCACCATCTCTTCGACTGTTTTTGTGGGAGAAGATGTGAACAGCCAGTGAGATAAACAATTTCCAGCAATCTGATGTTAATGCCAAATGAACCTATCATAAGTGAGCCCATGTCACTGCATATACACTGAAGGGAGTAGTTCACAGTCATGGGCCCCAATAGCTCCAGAAAAGCTAGGCAAGCCAGATCCCAGTCTAAGGAGCAAACAGCACACATACCAACAGTAACATTCCTCAGAATTGGTAGGCCAAGGATTAACAATTTCATCATGTCAGAGGCTAGTAGGATCACAGCATCATAAATTTATGGCTGGAAAGGACCTTAGAGATAATCCAGCCCACTCTCTCATTGTACAAATAAGAAAACCAAGCCCCAGAGAGGTTACATGACTTGCCCAAAGTCACTGAGAAAACAGTAGAATAATATAAGTAAAGCATGTTGAAAAACTGAATTATCTACTTTAAAATGCCAGTTATTTCTAGGAGTATTTTAAGCAACAAAATGAGGATTCAAACCCAAATGCAATCTCTATTCAAATGCATTTCACTGGGCCCTGAGAAATGACAGAAACTTATCCCAAAATGAGTGAGGAAGAGAGGGCCACAGGGAAACACCCATAAAAAAGTAGAAGAGGGAATATCACAGTGGAAAAACCGCAAAACCTTGGATTTATAAATAATAAGATCTTGAATCTACTTGCTTAAAAGGACCTAAGATACTCTAACTTGTAGGATGCTAACATTATGGTCCTCCGGCTGGAAATATACAAAATTTGGCATCTTTATGGATGTCAAGGGCAGCTAATGAGTATTTCTTCTTGTAAGATAAGGAGAAGCAGTAGAGAAAGGAAATTCTTTCTGGGATGAAAATCAGAGTCAGGATTTCCTAAAGAGAAGAAGAAAATACTTACAGTGAAGCCTAAGAATTCCCTGCCACTGCTGAGGTGTTCTTTTTCCTTCTACTTACCTCCTCTACAAGCCTGGATTATAAAGATTTTTGGTTTCTTTTGAAGTGCTGGACAGTTTTTATTGTTGAACATTTCAAAGATGTCTGATAAGTTGATTCTTTCATCCAGTACTGTTTTTATAACGCTTTTCCTCCATGGGCCATGAGAGTAACAAGGCAGCAGCTCACATCATCTTTTCTTTTATTTATTCCATCTCGAAACTCTCGTAATTTCTCCATTAACCCCTGTGGCAAATAGCATTGCAAAACCGATTTATCAAAGGGTGGACTTAGAACCATTTGTATTATCTACAGTAATTCTCAGAATTCCCTCATTTTAGAGGCAGCGAGGTGACGCAGTGAATAGAGTACTGGCCTTGGAATCAGGACAACGCGAGTTCAAATCCAGCCTGAGACACATAACACTCACTAACTGCGTGACTCTGGGCAAGTCACTTAACTCCAAATGCCTCACCAAAAAAAAAAGAGGAAATCCCCCATTTTACCCAGGTTGTGATATTAATTGCTTAGCTTCTAACATGAAATATTGACTGTTAAAAGGAAGTGAAGGTCTAAGATGGCATCATCATCATCACCTTTGTAGACAGTTTTGAAAAGAAACCTGGTCCTCAGGAAGACAGAAAGTTTAAGAAGGAAAAGTAAAACACTTCATTTTTATTACAACTGTGGGACTCTGGGATCATTTTATATGATTACATAGAGCACCTCATGCAAATTTCATCTTGAATCTTCAAGTTACATGTGAGAAATCCAATCTCCAAATTCTGTAGACAAAGATAAAATTGAATAATGAATGAATGAATGAATGAATGAATGGACTAAAATCCAATACTAATCATTGTTGGGAGAGTGGGACCAGTGATGGCCCCCAGGGCAAGGGCATTGACATCCCTGGGCTGTTTTTCCCAGTCGGAAGGGTATCAGCCAGGGTCATGGGCAACAAACAAGACAGAGACGACAGGAGGGGGGACGCTGTAGGGGCCCGTCCACCTGGCCATAGATCTCAAATTTGTTTTCATTTAATAGTATTTGGTTTCAATTACGTGCAATGATAGGTTTGAATATTCACTTATGAGACTTTGAGTTCCAGTTTTTTGTTCCTTCCTGGACTCCTCCCGAATTGGTAGGCAATCTGATATAGCTTATACATGTGTAATCATATTAAACATATCTGCATACTGGTCATGTTGTGGAAGAAGAATAAGAACAAAAGGGGAAAAGCACGAGAAAGAAAACACAGAAAAAAGAAAATAGTATGCTTTCATCTGCATTCAAACTCCAGTTTTCTGTGCATGTGGATAGCATTTTCCAAAATAAACCTTTTGGAATTGTCGTAGATTCCTGCATTGCTGACAAGAGCTAAGTCTATCATAGTTGATCATCACATAATGTGGCTGCTACTGTGTACAATATTCTCCTGTTTCTGCTCACTTCACTCAGCATCGGTTCTTGTAAGTCTTTCCAGGTGTTGTTGAAATCAGCCTGCTCATCATTTCTGTTTTTTCCTTGGTTTCTTTGCTTTTGGCTTGGCGATGGGGTTAAGTGACTTGTCCAGGGTGACACAGCTAGTAAGTGCCAAGTGTCAGAGGCTGGATTTGAACTGAAGTTGTCCTGACTCCAGGGCTGGTGCTCTATCCACTAGGCCACCTAGTGGCCCCCTGGCTCATCATTTCTGATAGCACAACAGTATTCCACTACATAAACATAACACAACTTGTTCAGCCATTTCCCCAACTGATGGGCATCCCCTCAGTTTCCAATTCTTCACCACCACAAAAAGAGCTGCTATAAATATTTGTCTACATGTGGGTCATTTCCATTTTTTTATGAGCTCTTTGGAATACAGACCTAGTAGTGGCATTGCTGGATCAATGAGTATGCACAGTTTTGCAGCCTTTTGGGTATAATTCCAAATTGCTCTCCAGAATGATTGGATCGGTTCACAACTCCACCAACAAAGCATAAGAGTTCTAATTTTCCCACATCTTCTCCAACATTTATCATTTTCCTTTTCCGTCATATTATCCAATCTGATATATGGGAGATGGTAACTCACAATTGTTTTAATTTGCATTTCTCTAATCAATAGTGATTTAGAGCATTTTTTCATAGGAGTACAGATAGCTTCAATTTCTTTATCTGAAAACTGCCTGTTCATCTTCCTTGACCATTTGTGAATTGGGCAATGACTTGTACTGAATCTCAAATCCTACTCAGCTCTGAAAAACACATAGACTCAAAGCAACTAATGGAGCATTCACACTCTTGAAACATAAAAAGGCTTTCCTTTACAGGAGAAGAATTCATTAATTCCCTGACACTTGTCCCTTGAGAGAAGTACCAAGATTCTTTTATCAGGGTTTAGAAAGGAAGAAGACCTTGCTGCTCAGATTGTATTCATGATGACCTCATCAGAAAGAAAGCAGGCTATAAAAGTCAGTTACCAATGCTGTTGTCTCAACGCTTACCTTTTCATCAGGATTGATGCAAGATGTACATTCAAACTTGCACGCTTTAAGCCAGTTTCTCATTCTCTTCATATCCTGCTTAGCCCCTGGTCTGCCTGTCTTCACACACATCACAAAAGCCTTACGAGGTTTTTCCATGTTATAGCGTTCCTGTTTGTAAGTAAAATTAATAAGCCAATGTATTCCCATGTATCAGAAAATATAACACCCTAGACATATTGGCCCATATGCTGCCTGCGAACCTCCTGGGGTCCGGGATGGGGTTTATCTGAGAGCTCAAAGCTGACCATCTCTCTTTGGGGGAGGGGTGTGTGTGCATGTGTGTATAAATAGATTTCTTTCATCTATAAGTTCCTGACAATCTCCATTTCAGAGTAGTTCTAACAATACAAATCACTCCTTCTGAAATACTTAGAACCAGCAAAGTAGGGCTATTGTAACAAAACTGGCAGCATGGTGTCACTACCACATACAAAACACCACCAGTTAAAATCATACCACTG